CCCCAAAACCCCAAAACCCCAAAACCCCTCATTACTAAAGGAGGACTGAATTGCTTTAAATTTGAACCTTCATGTCACTCCTGCATGAATCTAGCTATCTGAGTAGCACCCCTGTAGTATTGATTCCGTGATTACAACCTCATGCAATAAATATCTAAGATTTTGGGCAAAGATATCTTTAGATCCTGCTCTCTGTAATTCTAGCATATTTCAACTTCAAAAATAATACTCTAGTAATGTATAAGTAGGAATTCTTGGAACGGCAGAATACCAAACTCCTGGGATCACTGCAAACCCATAGAACCCTATTGCTAGAACTATAGCTATGAGGAGCCCGGTTTTAAGTTGAGGAAGGTACTTCCAATTGCTTAATCTGCTTCACCCAATTAGTAACTTTTAACAAACTGTGATCAGCATAGGAAGACATTTCCCCAAACCTAAGTGAGAAATTATTGCATCATCTGCTTTCTTTAAACTAGGGGTTAGTCATCTATACATTGAGTGTTTCCACAGCAGATTATCTGATTGGCCCAAATCAGCTTAATTTGTAACATATTTATATATTACGCCAAGCCAGCTTAGATCTCAGGCAGTTTTCTAAAATATCTGACTGTTTAGAAGGATATTGGGTTATTCAGAAAATATTAGAATGCCCAATTAAAAAATGAAGGCTTCATCAATGGATTTTAAGACTTTAGATAAATATAATATGGAAGATGAGCATACAGGATTCTATACTAAAATTCTAAGGACTCGTCTTCCTCCTTCATAGAATCTTTGGCATTAATGAAGTCTTGCAAAGCCTGTAGGAGGCTTGAGCACAGACCCCTTGGGTTTTATTTTAAGGAAATATTAGTGGAAATTGTCTTAAGGCTCTTCCTTCACTGCAATTACCTATTAATATTTCCTTAAATTAAAAATCACCTAAGGAGCCTGTGTTCAGATTTCGTAGAGACCTTCCAAAACTTCATTAAGTTCAAAGAGGTTATGAAGGAGGAAAACGAGTTCTCAGAATTTCAGTATTAAACTTGGATGCTCATCCTTCCATATTTTATTTATCAAAGTCTTATAATACATTGATAAGCCCTGCATTTTACGTTTATATTTGGCAGTCTAATATTTGTGAAAGCAATCTAACATTTTCCAAAACTGTCTGATATATAATTTGATATGATACCCTTCATCTACTTTACTCCTTAACCAACCATAAACCCCTGTATCTACCTTAACCCCTCAACTTCATATGGCCACTTTACCTTCAAGCTACCCCTTATTTCCTTCGGATAACTTTGCTTCTTCTTAAAGTCTTCTCTCAGTCAATTTCAGCCTTCAGCAACACTCTGAAAATAAGAGGTCCCTCATAAAGAAGCCTAAATAATTGTAATAAATATGGAAAGCGAAAGTGGCACTCAGAGTTCAACAAAACTCAGAAAAATCAATAAAGGAGATATCTCCAAACCAAGAGAAGGAGTCCAAGAGCTAATTAGTAAGAACCACTACTTTGCAAGGAGAAGCTAGTTCTTAAATGCCCAAGCCTGATCAGTCTTATAGGTCTAAAGTGGAAGACATTATAGGAGTTGGAGACTGTTGTGGCAAAAGGCCAGATCATTCTTGAGGAGTACCAGTCATGACAGCCTGGCTCCTATCCTCTAAGCCTGCACCAAATCTCTAGGTTAATTTCACAAATTGCGGATGCATTCAAAATGAACCAGTTCTGGATGAAGTATATGGAATAGATGAAGAAGATACATTAGTTAAAGATGCATTCAGCTATCTGCACTCACTAACTGATGGACTAGCACAGAAACTCAGCCTTATAAATGAAGCTACAGAGAATGAACAGGCAATGGATATGACTTCAAAGGATAACCATGAGGAAATGGACAGAAGGAAAGGAAGCCAACTGGGTAGGATCTTAAATAGCTGTCCATCAAAATTTGAGAGTTCTTAATCTTCAGTCATATTTGATTTTGATAACCTATTGATGTACTCTAAATTCTTTTGTGCTTTCCCTTTTCATATGCTTGCCAAAATACCCATCATTAGTTTTCACTCGTCTAAGTTAAAGATGGCTGATTTGATTTTTCAATTAATAGCTTATATTTGCTATTTTATTTGCAAGATACGAACATATTTTAAATGATTTCTATCTAAAAAGCAACCTTTAATTATATCTAAAACAAACCTTTTATCATAATTTTGTTCTATAAAAACCTGAAATTCATTCTCTTGGACTGATTTTCAACCGCTTCCGTAAATTTTTCAAGCTTCAAGCACGCGAATCCAAATATAAAGAATCGAATAAAAGCAAGATAATGGCTCTTGAGGATGCTCTTCATTGATCTACGGTCACCAGTATTGGCGAAAGATGGCTTCACCAAGAATCTCAACATATTGATTCCTAGTTAATTTCCACATTAGAAATACCTAGTGGGGTTTTGGGGTTTTGGGGTTTTGGGG